AAAATTTATATGAAATGAAAAAAGACCCCAAATAGCTGCAGCCATCTTGAGAAAAATGAACAGAGTGGGAGGTATCACTTTACTGGATATCAAACTGTACTATAAAACCATTGTAATCAAAACAGCCTGGTATTGGTATAAGAACAGACATATAGATCAATGGAACAGAACAGAGACCCCAGAAATAGACCCACACCATTATGGTCAGTTAATATTTGAAAAAAGTAGCAAGAACGTACAATGGGGTAAAGACAGTCTCTTCAATACATGGTGCTGGGGAAATTGAACAGCTATATAAAAAAAAAAAATTTTTTTTAAATGGAATTAAACCACCAACTCTCAGCATACACAAAAATAAACTCAAGATGGATAAAAGGCTTAAATGTAAGTCATGAAACCATAAAAATCCTGGAAGAAAACATAGGCAGTAAAGTCACAGACATCCCACGTAGTGGACTTTTCACTGATACATCTCCTAGGGCAAGAGAAACAAAAGAAAAAATAAACATATGGGACTACATCAAACTAAAAAGCTTCTGCACAGCAAAAGAAAACAGCCTCAAAATACAAAGGAACCCCACAGTCTGGGAAAACATATTTGTCAAAGATGTATCTGATAAGGGGCTAATTTCCAAAGTGTACAAAGAACTCATACTACTTAGCAAGAGGAAGAAAACCCAATTAAGAAATAAGCAAAGGATCTGAATAGACACTTCTCCAAAGAGGACATACAGATGGCCAAAAGACACATGAGAAAATGCTCAACGTTGCTAATCATCAGAGAGATGCAAATTAAAACCACAATGAGGTATCACTTCACACCTGTCAGAATGGCTACCATCAACAAATCAACAAATGACATGTGCGGGTGAGGATGTGGAGAAACAGGAACCCTAGTACACTGCTGGTGGTCATGCAGCCTGGTGCAACCACCATGGAAAACAGTGTGGAGGTTCCTCAAAAACTTTAAAATCAAGCTGCCTTTTGACCCAGTGATCCCACTTCTAGGAATATATCCTATGTATCCTGAAACACTAATCAGATAGAATATATGCACCCCTATGTTCATAGCAGCACAATTTACAATAGCTAAGATCTGGAAACAGCCCAAGTGCCCATCAGNTTACAATAGCTAAGATCTGGAAGCAGCCCAAGTGCCTATCAGATGAGTGGATAAAAAAGCTAGGGTACATATACACCATGGAATACTATGCAGCTGTAAAAAAGAAGGATCTCGTACCCTTTGGGACAGTATGGATGGACCTGGAGAATACTATGCTAAGCTAAATCAGCCAGGCAGAGAAAGACAAACATCACATCATCTCACTTACATGTGGTATCTAAAGAACTTAATAAACTGATGAACAGAATAGATTTAGTGACATGGAAGCATGGATCAGACTAACGAATCTCAGAGGGATGGGGTAAGGCGGGTGAGTGGAGGGGGATAGGTTAACCAAAGAATTCATTTGCATATATGCACAACTGAAGGACACGGACAATGGGTCGCTGGGGAAAAAAAACGAACATCTGTAATATTTTAAAGATAAATAAATAATAATAATAATAAAAAGAAGCAAGTGGCTCCAGGTCAGGATCAAGTTGTAACGTACAGAATAATTATGCATAATCTATTCCAGTTACTCTATATCAATGCAATGTGACAAGAACAACATTTTTAAAGAATTCAGCAGGGGGGGAAATGAGTGTTCCTTAACTAAACTAAATTGCTTTCTAGCTCCAGGTAATGAGACTGAAAATCAACTCTTTATTTTATTTTGATAACCTTAATAGAACATATCCCCAAAGAAGTACTTTTATCAAGTAAAAAGTCTCAATAATAGAAAACAAAAATTTGCTTGCACTTGCTAATACCAGTTTTGGTGTTAAAGCCCAGCTTAGAATAATGAATCTCAGAAGAATGAATCTCATTTTTGTCAAATGCTGGGCACTTATCCAGAAAAATATTGACTTCACACTCTAGCATATTATGGGTCTTAAATATACCCTAATTTCCTACTCCTTTGCTTGAGCAAATACAAAACATTTTGGTTTCAGACCATTAGTTCAAGGTAGAAGGGGTTTCTGATTTATTTTCAATTTGGTATTTTCTACTGCGATGGTAAATAATCCTTTAGAAAAAATAACATAAGAAATAAACTAGTATTTGTTGAGATCATATTTATTAAAGGTATAACATTGAACCCGTACAGGGAGTTATGCAATATTTTTCTAAATACAAGGGTCTTACATTTATTTGTGGAGACAAGACACATACATGAAAAGTTGCCTAACAAAACACAGTACAAGATGTGTTATTCACCAAATAAATAGAACCATAGTTTGTGCTATAAGAATTCAAAGCAGAGTGTGATTCCTATGGGCTGGGCTAGTCAGAAAAGGCTTTACAGAGGAAGTAGAACTGTGGCCTTAAGTTTTACATAGTATTTGGAGTGGTGGCAAGAAATGAAGAGGCAGAAGGTACAAGGAAGGTCAGAGATTGTGATGCATAAACCTCCAAGCTAAATAAGAGGAATATGAAAAATGTAGCCTGGGGTTTAAACGACAGGAGATGGATGGGAACTCAACGTCAGAGACCTTCTCACCTTTATTTCAGTATTCTTTGCAACCCTTGTAAAATAGGCTTGCATTATAGAAGATGATTGCTTGATTAATTCAGCAAGTAGATTGGTGTCATATCAAGATCCTTATATCTTTATATCTAGATCCTTAGATATAAGACAAAGAACTTTATGAATGATAAGGAACTACTGATGGTTTTTGAGAAGGAGAATGATATGAAGAAAATGTTGTTTTAGGAAGACAATGAAATGATACTCCTATCAAAGCACACTTCCATCCTATGACAGATTGCTCTAATCCTTAGATCTTTTAGAGGATTGATGAGCTTGTCTCTTCATTAGAACTCAAACTTTCCAACTACATCCTGTATATAAGAGCACTGTTTCTGAGATAAGAAGCCTTTCACATCAAGAGCTTTGTTGTTTAAAAGCATTCTGTGCAAACATCTCTCAGTCAGACAACCATTGAACCTTGCTTGAAGAAAAAATTACCTTATCACTTAGTTTTGGGGAGCCTAACCAAACCTCTGTGATTATGCCTAAGGAAAATTAAGACACTACCACAGGACTTAGGCAAGGTTCTAAGTTAAATTCATGCTTTATACCTCAAAGAATACATTTCTTCAAGGGAACCAAATGGACCTTATTTGTTCCCATGCATAGTGGTGATAGGTGGGTCCAACTATGGAAGAATCCTTAGTCTCAGTCAATTCCTTACCAGCTTTCTATATAGGAATTCAAAATACATAGGCCTATACTAACTCCTTACCAACCTGACCTTCCCATGAATAATATACTTATGATTACATATTTGGAATGATTAGGTGCATGGTTCTTTTCCACAAGGTTATTTTCTCTCATTCCTACATATAGGAGGCAATACCACTCTGGGGGAGCATGTCTGACTCGTTAACGAAAAATATATAGAAAAAGGAGAGGTGAGAGGGAGAGACTAACATTTGTTAAATCTGTTTATGGAGATAAAACACATACATGAAAAGTTGCCTGACAAAACACAATACAGGATATGATGTTTGACCGAATGAGTAGAACCATAAAGTTTGTGCTATAGGAATTCAAAGGAGAGTGAGTCCTGTAGGCTGAGCTGGTAGGAAAGGCTTTACAGAGAAATTACAGTTTGGGTCTTAAAGATTATATAGGATTTAGATTTGTGGAAAGGAATGAAGAGGAAGAAGGTACAAGGAAAATTATGAGTAATACACAAGACCCAAGCTGTGTGATGAAAAAAGTAACTGGCTCCAACAAAAAGTTTGGATGGTAAGGAACTGGATAGGAATTCCTTGAGGTTAGAGATATTATCACCTTCATTTCATTATTTTCTGCATCCTTAGCAAAGTAAGGTTGCATATAGATGGTTGTTTGATTCCAAGAGTACAACTAAAATTTGTTGGATGACTATTATATGCCAAGTGATTCACAGTTATTTGACAAACATGAGTTATTCTTTGTCTTTCACTGAAGAGCTGGTCCAATATAGCTACTTTCTGTTCAGACTTAAGGACAAGAATACCCTAAGTCTGAGATTCCAGACAAGATAATGCTGTACCCACCATGAAGCCTTGATTCGAAAAACATTCTCAGAGCCACTTTAACTTTTTCACTCTTGCTGGAAGAAAGCAGCCTTGTCTCTGGAATCTACCTAGTTAACTGTGGCAAGGGTAACCTAACTTGGTTGGCCTCTCTGTTTTCTGGAATTCAGACCTCACACATATGGGAGCACTCTGAATGGCACATTGATTTCATAAAGTAGAATGTACTAAGCAGAAACTGTAAGGGTCAAGAACTGTCAACTTTTTAAAATGTCAAGTATATTTTTATGCAGGGCATATAGAGAAAATGACTATCTGCACATTAAGCAAGCTGATTCAGAGTGCACTTTGCTCACCCAAAAGCCTGGAGGTTGGGAAAAAAAAACATTTGTATGTACTATAAATGAGGTTGGTTGTTAATACAAAAGCCTCTTATTTTCTAGATACATCATTCCTTTTTAGAAACACACCAACACCTAAAGTACTATAATAGCTATCGTAATTATGTCAAGTAAAATAAGAGCAAGACAGGGTAATTTTGTGAGTAATGAGACCCAAAATATTCCGTATAAAGTCATATGATGTTGAGCTGTCATCACAGCTATTTAAGTCAAATACCAGCCACTATGATAGATCAGATAATGCTGATAAATAAAAGAATCTTAGTTCATAGTACAGCAGGCTGACTACTCTTGGAATGTGAATGTCTAGGCTGGTTATGAATGCTTCAGTATAGCATACAAGTCTAAAGATTTGCAGATGTCTGCTGCCTCTAAGGACTGAAAAAGAAGGAAATATTCCAGTGAATAAATATCCACCCATATAAGAGAAAGGGACATTTGATTACCTTCACTTTTCAACCTTACAGATTATCCAGAAGGTTCATCATCTCTTGCGGAGGAAACAGAAACATAGCAGTTTGTGCATTTCCTGCATCTCTAAGACAGGTCAGTATTCTAAGGGAGGCACATAAAGGCAAAGGAGTACATTTTCACCCTGGTGAACAAGATAAATTCTTCACTCTTGTATTATTCACATAAGTAGAATTTTTAGACATAACTTCCCTGTTTAATGTACTGAAAAAGTTGGCCTTATTTCCTGTAAACTCACACTATTCACTTGTGCTAAAAGACCCCCAAGGTATCCAGAAACAGCCAAACATCCCATTCAGGTAATCTGCTTTCATATTATGTATTATAAATCTTGTCCTGGTGCATTCCAGGCTTCTAAAATGATATAGATTATGAATAGGTTCTTTTTGCCTGACTCCATTATGTCAGTTAACAACCTACTCTTATCCACTCACAGGCAAAAAGCACCATCCCTGCACTCCAGTTCTCCCAAAATGCTACTAAATTGTTCACCAGTGGCAGGCAGCCTTACACATGGGATTCTCTTTCGTCCAGTGAAAAGCTAAACAGCCTTCTCTTTGCAACATTCACAGGTAAATAACCTAGTGTGATTCAGCATTAAATGGAGAATTTTAGTGATAGAAATACCATGGAGTTCAAAGCTCTGATCTGATAAGCCTTCTAATTTTATACCCATGAAAAAGCTAGTAATTATTCAAAAGCCTATTGATTTGTTTGTGGACTCTTGGGTCTTCACTTTTTTCCCTTATAGAACCCTGCTGTGTACCAGTATAGATACTGTATAAGACCTTGTATATGCAAGCAATTTTGCTATGTACTTCATATGTATTATCTCATTTAATCCTCATAGCAACTCTATGAAGTGAATGTTATTATTCCCATTTTACTTATGAGAAAACTGAAGTCCAGAGATGTTAAGTCACCTACCCAGCTAGTAAGAGGATTAAAATTCTCTGGTGAAATAAATTTAGGAAATCCTGTATAAGCAAAATTAGAGGGTTGTCTTTACCATAGGGATTCTCAAGATTTTTATTATATAAATGAGTCGTGTGACTCTCCAAGAGGAGGATATAGTAGCCCTCTGAAACTATTTGACTAAACTTATTTTATTATGTGCAGATCATGGAATGTTGTCTTTAGTGCAGTACTTATCAAGACTTATAATATGCTAAGGAACTTTGTCAATCCCTAAAAGTGAATAAGTTTACCCAAACTTGTATTACCATGTAACTTTTTTCAGAACATCTTGAGTGAATGTTAAATCATAAAATAAATTCTTGATATGATTTCCTTGATAAGTAAAATTGCTTTTAAGCAATGCTTTTCCCAAAGCACTCTGTTAAAATAAGTTAACTGATTAATTTTGTGCAAACAACAGTCTTGTTTTGCTAATAATGGAAAAGTGTTTGGGAACATAGGAGGAAGGGTGGGGGAATAATTTAAAAACTTATCAAGGTATGATGAATTTTTAATGTATATAGATAATTATTATGGTGATATTTATAAAGGCTCAAAATAGAAAACAACCTAAATGTCCATCAATAAAAGAATGGTTGAATCAGTTATATATGTCCAAACTATTAGATACTTTATACATGTTTTTGTTTGCTTCATTATTAAAAGTTTTAAAAATTAAAAGATAAAGGATAAAGTGAATACCCAACTATTTACAACTTAGAATTAACAAACATAAACATATTTTAATTTTGTCTCAAATTTTTATATATAAAAAAATTGTCATAATTTTTACACAGAAAACACTGATTCTACATTATATTTTTTTCAAAAGAAAAAGAAAAACTTGGAGAAATATTTGCAAAATATATAAAACAAAATTCAGCGTCCTTGCTTGGCCTATGTAGCTCAGTGGTTGAGCATTGACCAATGAACCAAGAGATTGCAGTTTGATTCCTGCACATGCCCAGGTTGTGGGCTCTATCCCCAGTAGGAGGCCTGCAGGAGGCAACCGGTCAATAGCTCTCATCATTGATGTTTTTATCTCTCTCTCTCTCTCCCTCTCCCTTCCTCTCTCTGAAATCAATAAAGATATATATTTTTTAAAAAATAAAAACATTTAAGGAAAAAATTTAACATCTTTAATTTACCAAGATCTTGGAAATCAGTAAAAAAAAGAAAAAAAAGAAAAAGATAAACACAACAGTTAGAAAATGGGAAAAGGTACAGTTGACAAGCTAAAATTTAAAATGAAAAATAAACATAAAAATTGTTTAACTGCATTAGAAAAATACAAGTTAAAATAATCTAAAATATAAAATTTGTCTGTTGAAGCAACCAATTTGTATAAATTAGAGTATACCTAGTGTTGGCTAGGATATATGGAAAACAAGTGCACTTTTTAAAATTTTCACTGAATTTATTAAAGTTACATTGGTTAATAAAATTATGTAGGTTTCAGGTGTACAGTTCTATAATACATCATCAATAATACATCATTGGGTGTTCACCACCCAAAGTCTAATTTCCTTAAGTCATCATTTATCCCACATTTACCTTCCTCTACCTGCCCCCACTACCCTTTTTCTCTGGCAATCACCATACTAATGTCTGTTTCTATGAGTTGTGTTTTTGTTTTTTGCTTAATCCCTTATTTCATAGAGCTTCCCAAACCCCCCTCAGACAGCTGTCAGTCTGTTCTCTGTATTAACGATTTTGTTTCTATTTTGTTTGTTTATTTTGTTCATTAGATTCCACATATAAGTAAAACCATATATTATTTGTCTTTCTCTGGCTGGCTTATTTCACTTAACATAATACCCTCTAGGTCCAACCATGTTGTCAAAAAATGTAAGATTTCATTCCTTTTTATGGCTGAGTATCCCTTATGTAAATGTACCACAGCATTTTAATCTACTAATCTACTGATGAGCATTTGAGCTGCCTCCAAATCTTGAATATTGTAAATAGTGCTGTAATGTACATAAGGATGCATATATTCTTTGGAATCGAGGCCGTGGCTGTGGGTAAGAATGGACCTCCTGGCCATAGCTGCACAACCCTGTGCCTCTCTGAATCCTGGACAAGTGCTTCAGAGGGAGAACTGCTCTGAACGTCACAGGTCTGAACAACACTCCAATCCCTATGCAATACTGAGCTCAACTGGGCAGAGCCACTGGGAGATGGAAGAACAGGCCAAAAGAATCACCAGGTTTGGGGGTCAGACACTAGCTGTGTGTATGAAGAATGGCCACCATTCCAAAGTTACACTGCTCAATGACTGTGTGAGTCTCTGCCAAGATCTTCCCCAGAATAAAAGCACACCAAAGATACTATTGAATGCAGCCATCAGTCCTTTCTGTAGGACTCTAGGTAAGCAGGTTAATGTTGCCAGTAGTAGGAGAGTTAAGCTAGTGCACTTTCCAGGCTGGTCTTGTAAGAATAGGAGTGCTCAACCATGGGAAGATGGTGTCTGAGGGTGGTATGGGATAGAAACTCAGCACAAGGATCTTGGTGGCTGATCCTCCAGATATCTCCTCAGGGCCACACCACCCAGGTCTTCTCTGTATGACTCCTGTATTCACTGAGTCACCTTCCCTCTACCAGAGCCCTGGGTGAATGTCTAAGAGCAATATCCTGTGCACTGGCCCTTTAAGAGGGCACCTGGGTTTATAGCAGATTCCCTCCTCTTCCAGGTGGACAGAGTCCCCACTGACTTTCATTGCCAGATAATATTCAGGTTCCTCTTCCCAGCTCTGGTGCTCTGGGTTGGAAATCCCAGCATGGGGTTGACCCCTATACTCTTCAGAGGGAACTTTTACATCCTGGATATCTTTCCACATTCTCAACCACCACACATGGGTGTGAAAGCCAACCCTTTCCAGATCTGCACCCTTTACCAGTCTCCATGTGGCTTCAGTGGGTTATTCAGGTTGATTGCTCTATAATTTAGTTTTAAATCCAGGTTGGCTTCAGGAGGACACAAGTATAGCTCATACCTACTCCACAGACATCTTGCCAAAGGAGAATAGGTGCTGTTAGATACTACTGATGTAAGGTGAAATTCACAGGTCATTTTTTATGGCAGTTTGGCAACATAAAAACCTCAAAATTTTCTTACAATTTTATCTGATAACTTTATTTTAAGTATGCATTTTAATTGAATAATCAGAGATCTGTACAGGTATTCATCATCAATTTACTATAATAGAAAATTAAAAACAAAACTAAATATCTAACAATAGAGGAATGGTAAATTGCTACATCATATGGTGAAATAGTATACACCATTGAAACTAATTATTTTGAAGAATAATTAATAGGTTTATGTGAAAAATCTCTGAGTGCAGTTTAACTTTAAAAGTACATTTTTATCAGCTTTATTGAGACACTGTTCATACCATATAAGTCAACCACTTAAAGTGTACAATTCAGTGGGGTTTTAAAGAATATTCATAAATTTGTACAACCATCATTTGTAACCTATTTTAGAATATTTTCATTAACCCATAAAGAAACCCCATACTCATTAGCATTCACTCCCCATTCCTCTACTCTCACCTCTAGGCAACCACTAATCTATTTTCTGTCTCTACAGATTTTCTTATTCTGGACATTTCATATAATCCATGATTCCATGGAATCATACAACATGTGATTTTTGAGAAGAAAATATTTGAAAATCAAATATCTGATAAGTGACCTGTATGCAGAATATAAAAATAACTTTTGCAATTCTGTATTATAAAGAAAATTTCTCCATATACAAATGATCAATAAGCACATAAAAAGATGCTAAATATCATTAGTCATTAGGCAAATGCTGATGAGTGTAAATGATGCAGTTACTTTGGAAAACAGTTTGGCAATTCCTTCAAAATGTTAAACAAGGGATAAAGGGAAGATGGCTGTGGAGTTAAGTGGAAGCTACACACACACCCGCTTCCAGTGCCAAACTGGATTTATAGCTAAAATATAGAGCAATCAACCTGAATAACCAACTGAAGGACACATGAACAGTATTATATCCAAGAATTTATAGAAGAATGCTACATAGAGGCTGGTAAAAAGAGGGGAGACATGGAGAAGGCTGAGTCCTGCACCCAGGTGTGGCAGCTGAGAAGCTGGAGGGACATTTTAGCAACAAAAGTCACCCCTAAGGTGACTAGGGTCTCAACCCATGCCAAGACCTCCAAACCAGAGCACCAGAGCCAGAAAGAGGGCCCTGTATAACATCTGGCAACAAAAATCTGTCCACTGGAAAGAGGAAGGAGTCTGCTTGAATCCTAGGTCCTTTCCTTAAGGGTCAACATGCAGCAGCTCACTCTTGGGCACTCACCTGGGGCTTTGATAGAAGGAAGGAGATTCAGGGCATATGGCAGCCCTAAATAGAAGATCTAGGTGGTGTGGCTCAAGAGAGAGATCTGGAGGGCTGGCCACTGAAGTCCTGGACCTAAGCCAACATCCCACAATGCCCTGAGACACCATCTTTCAGATTTGGGAACTCCTATTCTTACAGCACCAGTTGGGGGAAGTGCACTAACCTGGCTCTTCAAATACTGGCAATGCCACCATGCCAAGATCGAGTCCAACAAAAAAGACTTTTGGCTGCACCCAACAGGGACCTGTGGTGCACTCGTTTTCTGGAAAAACTTTAGGATGACTCTCAGACACGTATCAAACTCAGTGGCTTTGGAACAAGGGTCAATATTTTCCCCCTCCAATGGGTTACGCAGGTGCCACCACCAGCAGAAGACTCTCTGTCAGAGTCTCTGGCAGTGGGCAGCTATGGAACTAAGGGGAGGCAGGCAGCTTGATCTCCCTCCCTTTGGCACACCCCATCCCCAATGGATGGCTACCTTGATTTGCATTCTTAAATCTTGCTGGCCCCATTTTGCTAAGCTCTGTTCCATGGGGGAAAGGGAGAGCAGCTTCAGTGCCACCCCCTTGGAACCTTCCATCAGGATCTCTGGCAGTGCACTGTGGAGTTAGGGGAGGTGAGCAGCTTACTCCCTTTCCAAGGGCCAGTGCCAGCCCCAGCTGAGGGCTGACTTCATCTGTTCCTCCAAGCCCCACTGGCACCATCCTGCTGGTTGCAGCTTTGCAGACAAAAGGGGGTGCAACTAAGAACAAGAACCTTTAATGCCACCCCCTCAGAGCGTTCCATCAAGGTTTATGACAGTGCACTGTGGAGCTAAGGGGGAGGCAAGCAGTTCATTCTCCTCCCAGTGGCCAGCACCACCCCCAGTGGATGGCTGCTTTGATCTGTTCCTCCAAGTCCTGCAGGAAGGAAGGGAGCAGGGAGCACGGCTCAGAGCTGGGACCTTTGGAA